CCGAAATCCTAAGTCATGTCACCCGAAATTTAAACTTGAAGAAAAGTAACAATCGTGAGGATTAAACTCGTAAGATGTTTTCGTCCGCTAACCTATGCAAATATGATGTTAAACAAAGTCTCAAATATCGCTATTCATTTCAGTGTTGTTCGTTGCTATGAACTATACATTAAAAAAATACATCAAGTTCTCTCAGTTTGGTTTATCGCATGAAAAACAACCTGAAACTTTTACAGCAGTTTTTCTTGTTTATTGTTAACCACGCGAACAAAGCGTGTTAGCATCATTCCCCTCAGGATCAGACGCGGCATAAATTACAGCGACTTGTTCAGTTGTTTCTTGTTTCCTCAGCCGGTCGCATGTAAATTTTGATCCGGTTAACAATATATAAAGAGGGTAAATTAATAACAGCCACCTCATTCCGAGATAATCAGCTGGCTGAAACACGAGATCGTTACTTGTACGCAAAATAATTATACAGTGAGCCTTCATCCTTGTATCGAGTGCGGAAATAAAGTTCGACCATGCCAGCAAGCCCTTCAGTACTATGGTTGGGGCTTTTGGCAGCATCGTATCTGCGGGACTGGTATCGACCAAACCACCTACTATTTGGCAGTAATCAGTGGAAGAATAGATTGGTGGTGCGTTGCATGTTCTCTTGCGGCATCAAACCCAAGTGACCCGCAGGTCCCCGCTGCTGAGAGCGCAAGGAGCGAGTAAAATTTCAAGTAGGCGACTACTTAAAGCATGCTCTCACCTAGCACATGTAGCAGTTCGTATAGACTAGTTTTCTTTAGTTTTTGCTCGTGTTTAGGAAAGTAATGATGTTATTGTTATTATTATTGTTCTAGTTTAAAAGGAATAGTTTCTTTTATCACGATAAAAAAAATCAGATATGTAGGTTCAGTTGCTAGCAATAAATATATTAGTATTAAGGCGTGTTTGAATTTACCACAACGTCACAATCTTGCCTAGCAACCATGTGATGATTCTTGAGCACGTGGTGTATTCAAGAGGACGGCGTTTCCGATGTTCTAAGCGTAGTGATGTGAACCTTCGTTCGAAACAGAATGCTTCCACATATAAAACAACAACAGTGAGGACCATACTGTAACTGATGCTGCTAATTTTTTTTTTATTTTCGGGTTTTTTTTTTAGGATTACTATCTCCGTGATATCAAACAACAGCGAAACGGACAACTGAGTTTCACGAGTCAACATTTTACGAGTTTATTCCTTGCGATTTACTTAAGATGTTACTTTTTTTCAAGTTTAAACACTCGATAACATTTCGGGCGACATGACTTAGGATTTCAGGCGGACATGACTATGAATTTCGGGCAACGTCATGGTCACGGGCGACATGACTTCCGCGAGTGAGACTACTTTCGGGCGACTTGACCGTAAACCGCTGACAAATATGGCTTGTCTCGGTGACAGCGATATTCGATCGATTCTTGAGGACGAGAACAAATTCAAGAACTGAGTTTATAAGAAGCAAGATCTTTCTCAGCTTCTGAAACATTCTCACAAGAATTTCAGCCATCTTCACTGGACAGCCTTCAACGAGGCGAGTTTGCTGGGAAAAAATGCAGAAATCATTCATATACGCTTTGGAATGCCATCTTCAACTTTGATTCCTCAAATGAGGCGAAATATTTGAAACTTCAACGCGACATTTGCATTTTAAAGCTTTCTGTATGTTCGACTCCACGTGACGAGATTTGTAAAACAGTTTTTCGGCATAAAAGGTAATAATCATGTTATCATTTCGTTAGTCGTGTAGGGTATCACCTATTTTGCACTCGTTGACTCGCCGGAAAAACTGTTCCGTACTCGTCCCGTTTTCCCACGGTTTGTTGACTCGTGCTATTCTTCTCGCGTCCACTCGAGAGGCTTCTCGCGCACACCCGATAGGATGCCTGACAGATTTCATACTGTCTCCGCAGAACGAAATGCCTGAACGAAATATACCACCGGAATTTAGGTACGGTGACTCTCTGGTACGCTTCAGCGGCATATCAGGTTCGTTTGTTAACGCTATGGGGCTTTTGGCTCGACTGCGTACAAAAATGTTACAATTAGGTAAGAACTGGGTAAGAGATCTAACAGATCACGTAAGAAAAAAATACGTGGACGATTGTCGCGAGCAGAAGAGAGCGAGAAGAGTTTTTCACCAGACTGTGTTTTTTAGTACAAAGCAAAAAGGTTTAAGAACTTCAGTGTCTTTAGAGGGCGAAGTGCAACATCATATCACAATCTACCACTTCAATTAAACAATGGTCGAAAGCAAAGGTGAGGATTCTGACATAACTGTGAAGAGCGCCGAGGTGAGTCTGCATGATGTTTTATCATTTCAACGCATGATACGATCCTTCAAAAGTTTCCGTAATTTTATTTTGAAAACCTTACTCGTGATAAACAGGACATGTGTGTTGCTGGGGATTTTTGGGCAGAAATTTTTTGTTTACGAGAGCACCTCATGGGTAGGTAAACTAACGGGGGTATGCCTTTCTCGAGAGGTCGATTTTGAAGTGGACAAACGGACGCCAGAAATACACCTTTTGCCTGTACTTTGTTCGTTCAATATAGCAATCGAAAAACAAAACGAGAAGTTTCTGGGAACAAGGAGCGTTTCCCTGTCGTTTATTATTTAATACATAGTCAGGTTTGGTGAATTTTAAAAGGGATGCAGTGCATTATTATGGCCAACTTTAATTGCAGAAAAAGGAAAGTGCAAAAGGAGCATGCTTATATTTGTCCTCAGCAAAAAATTCAGATTCAACAACAATCATCATCAAGAAGCTGGAGTCATTAGGGTTTACTGTTAACAAGGAATCAAGCATTACATCAGCTTCACAGTTATGTGCATCCATGAGGATGGCTCTCATTGTATTGGAAGACTGTGAAGATAAAAATTTCATTAAGACTATCAAGTAAGTGTACATGTCTTCCTTGATTGTGAGTCTATTTATTCTTGAAGATTTCATTGTGAGTACTCAAATTAAGTACAATTAAATACATTATGATTTACTTAAAAAAAATTATGCACTTCTGATTGGCTGAAAGTGAGTGAATTTTTCATGTAACGTGAGTGCAAAAAATGTAACACAAGTGCAAGTCTTGACTTTCTGTGATGATTTTTTCATGTAAATTACTAGTAAGTAATAACAATTAACACAAGTGCAAGTCTTGACTTTCTGTGATGATTTTTTCATGTAAATTACTAGTAAGTAATAACATGACTTCTCAAGCAATTTGTATAGGTAATCACATGGGGCCAAGTAAAATTAAGGACTAATATCACGCGTGTTTTCAGAAGTTGCTGAAATTGCCCGAGTCACAAAGCGACGAGGGCAATTTCGGCAACTTCTGAAAACACAAGTGATATTAATCCTTAATTCTACGAGGACCCATTGCGATTACTTGTTAATGAAATTGAGGGAAAAATTACTGAATTTTTTAATGCACTCTTCGGTAATCAGTCATAAGAAGCCATTTAAAGTTGACAGAGAATCAATGGCCACAAACACACAAATGAGCTGAATTAAATTTTATTTTTGCACAAAGATACCAGGACTTTGGATAGGCTTTTGATTTTAGATATCTCTCCAGTGATGCCTGCATTACTTTCAGGCAGTCGGGCTCATATTCATCTCTGTTTTCTTTTCATAACTCGGCATAAAACTGCGCCAGTGTTCAGTCGAGGACATTGCTCTAGTACTCTTGTAAATTTGCTTGGAAGTTTCTTTCATTCGCCCACTTTTTAAAAACATTCTTCCAGTACTCTGTGCTTTTCCTCGTGTTTTCATTTTCACTCTTGTCTTTTAATTCTTCCATATATTCCTCGTCAACTATCTCGAAACGAGACGCCATTGTTACAGAAAATCTTCAGCAACAACTTTTCGATAGCATAAGCTGTTGCTAGGCAACCTGAGTACCAGTCATGAGCTAGTAATTCTGTCCTCTTCTCATGCAAAATTAAGAAAAAATACCCTCTTCATTGACCAATCTGCATTCAGTAATTTTGCCCTCTATTTTGTTAAGCTTAAAATAAGCACTTGTGAAGTTTTCAGACTATAAATTTCACTTGCCCTATGCTCTCTTGCAGTTTTGTTGTCTTGAAGAATTTACTTATTACCAGAACATGATTCCTTCAAAATTCTGAACGGATTAAATTTAAGAATTGATCAAGTTTTCTGGGCATTTCTTACAATCAACATAATGATTTACTGGCAGAAGTCCTGAGATTTTTTCTCCTTTTTTTTGCAACTGCATGAATTGGTAATACATAGATTTCTCATTGTGGATGGTAGACAATTAGTGCTAATATAAAGGGTACATTTGCACTGGTCTATTGCGGCTTTAAAGCCTAAAATTAATATTTTTTAACATTGTTGTTCCATCTCTCTTGACCATCAAAAATTTGTCACCTTGTATTTTGTGGTACTTGCTACCCCAAAACTGATAAAGATTCTTTCTCCCTTATTATGGTCTCAATGGCTTCTTTGATGAACACTTGGTCATTGTAACCTGTTTTGTTTCAACAGATCACCAAAGGCATGCAATGAGTATGCACCCATTGTGTTTATTTCCTCAGGACCCTTGTCAGGTAAACCGGTTCCTTTCTCCCTAGTTACATATATCACCATGGTTACTGGCCAAACGAGCCTTCCCTTGTTTATTATAACAGATTAAAACCAATTATATGAGTCCATGGAGACAAAGCCAGCCTCCTTGACCAGTGGTATAAGAACTGAGGCCCTTAAGAAATTTAGGTATCTTAAAAGGAATCTCAAGAAAAAGAGATTGGTCAAAATGCTATACCTGTAATGATGGAGCTATGTCATTGAAGCTTAAGAAGAAGTTAAATCAGGCCAGTGATTTTCCATCTATTCTAGTATTTCTGAACTTACGTGGGTTAGTACAGTCTGTAGTAAATGATGGGAAAGTGTGGTCTATATTCTACCGTCCAAAAACAACAATTGTATAAAGTCATGTAAATGGAGCTATAGGTAGAACTTAATTGCCCCTTCTAAGAATCACTTCAAAGATTTCTCTGTTTTTGAATATGTTTCTTATAATATAGCTGGACATGCAAATTAATACTGTTGCAGAAAGCAATGTAACTTAAAATAATAGCTTTTTTATAAAAGGTACGGTAACTCAGCTATGAGTTTCCTAATTGGCAACTGAAAGATTGACTCATTTGAACTGTTCTAACTAATAAATTTGATTATAGTAAAAGTTGTCTGTTGCAGTAGTGTCAATAACTAATTTAGAAATGTTCCCTAGATTCTGTCAGACACTTGATGCAAGAGCAGTACATTGATGAGCTTGTGTTCAAATGCTTGACATTGGAATGTGATTTGGGAAGTGCATTAAATCGCCTGATAACACAACCAGGACAATTTTCCAGTATCTATCACAAAGCATTTGGGGAATTCATGCTAGCTTTTTTTACTGCATATCACTTGTTTCCTCAAAATTATAGTTTTCCATACTCATAACTTACATTTTTAACCTGTAGTTGTAAGTCAGAGTAAGTGGGCTCGTTGTGGCAACTTGTCTGCTCTATGCATTTGGCACTAACAGATTAATTGTAAAGTTCTGGATTTTTACCATGAATACTTCTTCAATGTGAACCAAAAGAGTCCTAGTGCCAGTTAAACATTTTCAAGAGTGAGTTTGCTGTCGAGATAAAATTAATGTACAATACTTTCAGATTTACAGGATAGTTGCATTAGCTTGTTGTGCAGCCTGAATGAAGGGTTGTGACTGTTTTGGCATTGTGTTCGTAATACTGCCATGTTACTACTTGAGAGAGACTTTTGAGATTACTCCTGACCAGCCTGTAGTTTTCCAGAGTGTACATGTATGTCATGTTATGAAGCAATGCAGAATTGCTCTAGTTCCATTTTTCAACCAGGTGCTACAGCAGCAAGTCATAAAGATTTGCAAAGTCCAGCTTCAAATATGGGTCTACCTTCAGTTTCATCATATGTACATGGCTATCACAACACACAAAGTGCTTATAATCACATTAATACGCTCTTGATGTCTACATCGCCTATGAATCAGCAAGGCTATTATGAGGAGAAGGGTACTGTGCCTCACTTAGCAGAACAGACTTCATGTGGTGGTTTGTATCACACACAGCTGCTGCCACACCATCCATTTCACCATTGTCCTCATGTTACAAATGGAAATAGTATTGTTCATGTAAACAAAGACAGAGGTGGCCCAGGGAGTACTGTTATGTCTAGTGGGTTTCTGCAGAGGGATAAGTGGCAACCTTCAGTGCCTACAAAAGAGGAGGACAAGAAGCAGGCTATGGATGAAATTCCACAAGATATTTCCAGCAGGAAACAGACGCAGGAAGAAAAAAGCTGTGATGGAGCCAGTGTTAATTCCAATGACGAAATCAATCAATCTGGAAAAAACACCCCAAAGTCAAAAGCTGATAAAAATGATAAGACAGCCCAAGAAAAGAAAGTGAATGAAGATGTTTACTCCCAAAGGTATGTTTGTTCTCAACTATTGATACCATATACAACAAAAGTTAATTTTCTGGTAACAGTAAATTTTTAGTAATTTTGCAGTTTTCCTAAGATGCAAAATTGCACACTGCCAGAGCTTAGAGCTGACTTTTTATCCTGTTGACCAACTCAGTGGTGACCCCATGTCTAACCCAGACAAATTTTTTGTACTGGTTTATGCTAAGATTGCAAGTGACAATCAATACATTCCAGTAAATTCCTCCATGTTTGAGCCAAAATGAAACTAACAGCCCCACTAAATTCAACATGATAACAATTCAGATATCCCATACTATCACCTCTAAATAAATACTTTTACTCACTGTCATCAATTGTCAATAGCCCATTTCCGATTTACCCTTGGCCTCATTTTCAAAACGAGTCCTGGTGCTCATCCTTTCATATGCTAGTAAGTTTTCATTCACATGTAAGTTAAAGTCATTTTCATAAGAATGGTTGAGCACCAGGCCTTGTTTTGAAAATGAGGCCAAGGGTAATTCGGAAATGGGCTATTAATGAAATTGCAGCCTGCCAAGGGGGTATTAGTGTGACCATTTTTATACATGCATCTTTAAGTTAATACATACAGTCTATCTTACTTCCATGGTCAAAATCTGGTTTGTTTTCTGACTTTTGAAATTTCTTTGTTGTGGCATATGGGTGAGTACAACTGATTTCTGCCAAATCAAACTTGGTATTTCTGGAGTTACTTTGAGTTCTGAGTTATCCAACCCTTTTTTGTTCGATTCATGATAAGAGCTGGGGATTCAACAACACACAGAAGTGTCACACTGTAAACATGGAATAAGTCTGTAGAAAATTAGGATGGGCGTTAGGTATGGAAATAGTAGATTGCAGGAAAGTGTTGGCTATCAAAAAAACTGGATCACTGGATAACGCAATTCAAGACTTTTCATTGGCTTAGCCATTATGATATATGAACCAATATACCATAAACTATGATTATGGTAAGCTTACGCATAAGCTTAAAATTAAAAGGGAGCTAAAAATTTAATAAAATTTAATAATTTAATGTAGCATTTTTAATAATTTAAACAACTATTCCACTTGCATTTGTTGGATATGAGATGATTATAGCCAACTCTGTGCTACGCACCTCGTTGGCTATCTATCATCTTGTATCCAACATGCGCTCGTGGAATAATTGTTAAATATCAGACACTATTGAGCAGTGAAGTGCTGTTTGTTACAGTTATATTCAATTTGTTTTCTCATCAGTAAGTACTGAATGATTGTACCTACAAGTAATAGGAATCTGATCTTGGTTGTCTAACTCAGTCATCTTCATTGTGTGAACTCCAATAATATCGGTCTATTGTTAACTAAAGCAATAAGCTGACATGTTTTTTATTATTTATTTGTCTAAAGCTCAACATTAAATAAAGTGGATACTGCCGGACTGAAAAAAAAGAAACCAAGGTCTATGGGTTTGACTTCCCTTGAACGGAAAGAACATCACTTGGACAAGGAAAAGAAAAGGAGGTCAGAAAACTAAGAGATGCTTGATAAATCAGCCACTCTTGAAGCATTTTTTATCATGTGTCTATCTAAAAAGTAGATTGTAAGGGCTGTAAGTCTTATTTTTAACTGACAGTACTTTACATGTGGCTGTTAGTTCCCAGTGGCCAAGTGTAATGAGGGGAACTTGATTCCAGCTTATAATGTTCAGGCCAATTAATAAAACTACATATAGATATAATCAGGTTGTTGGCTGCACAATGAGCATCCATTACTAGGGAAAGCTCAGAGATAGTCAAATTCTGGCCTGCTAGGGCAACCCTGTTGCATTCCCAGCCAAGCAAGGCCTTAATTTGTTCAGTGAGTGGGTAAAGACGGTTAAAACTCAAATATTGCTTTCCAGTAGGCAAGCACAAGATGAACAAACTTAACTGTATGCTATTCAGCTGTCAGTGATTTATCTGATGCATAATATTATATTATCCATTTCTAACCCTTCAAGGATGAATTTCTCTATGCAATATCGACATTAATCTTGGGAGAGAAAAGGTTAAACTTCCTGGGACCATGATGCACTTTTGAAGTCACCATTAATTCTGCAAGCCTAAAACCAGAATTCATTATAATCGTAATCTGAGGAATGATTATCAGTTGTGGTGCTACATGTACTTTAGCAGCTGTAAAATCAGCTTTTAGGAAAGGTTATTAATAATAGATTATTATCAATAATGAATTGCAACTTTTGAGAAATGGGACCCAGGAGTTTGAATAACTATTGAATATCTACAAGTGACTCCTGGTTTTATCTGGTCAAACGTAGAGAACGAATCACAAAGTCGTGGCACTGGTTGCGGCAGCTTGTGCCAAACTGTGATCCATATGCAGACAAGGCCACTGTATTTGAGATGTGTGTAGCATATTTTCACCACTGCTGGAATTACCATGGTCCCCTCTTACAACAGATCAATAAGGTATGCACAGTAGTACAAATGTTATGGTATCGTCAAGTGAAAAGCTAAGTTACTAGTTAAACATTTTACATTCAGAAGTCTTAAAATAATCAATGCACTCTCTCAGAGGAGAAAAACCCCAAGGAGGAAAGAAAAAACTAAGAAAGAAAAACGATGGTACATTAAAATTTTGGCCATGTTTTAACAGATGGACAAACCATAACCTACGCAATACTATACAGCAGCATGAAATATGAATTTTTACTTATTTTCAGTTGAGGAAGTTAAAAAGGTCTTCAGCCATGTTGTCTCTCAGGAGTTTAAGAGTGTGTTCGAAATAATTATTTACATCACAACTGTAAACTTGCTCCTTAAAAGATTCTCTTCACGACTCCTTTTGATGTTTTGTTGACACTGTCATGGGCTGTACTTTTTCTTGCAAGCTCAATTTATGCTCTCTAGCTCACGTAAAGAGAGATGGCTGTGATAAAAAGAATACATGTAGAAAAGACCACTTGGGTATAGAATGTCATACAAAGTTTGGCCCACTTTTTAGCAAAACATTATTTTCCTTTGTTTATTGTTGTCTAAATAATGATGAGATAATAACCAAGCCAGCGTATTCATTTAATTTCAATTTCAAAATAATTTTATCGTAATTCTCACAGACATTTTAGTACCAACATTCTCCCATCAGACTTTATGGCATTCTAATCTTTTGCTTATACATTAAGAATTTGGTTCACAATGTCGCTACAGATTACACCAACAGTCATATTTTGCTTTGAAACAGGATTTTTCATCACTGAATAAAGTCACCATTTCCTTAGAGGACATGGAGAAGAAGGTTATGGAAGTTCTTACGAATGAAAGAAATGCATTTGGAAGTAAGGAAGAGCAGTCATGAAAACTTGTGTAGGCAGGACATTTAATTTTCCATAGTAAATGTTTGCTGTAATCACTTGCTTTTGAAAAGTCTTGACATGTACAGAAATCCACTATTATTAATTAATTTTTACTTAATATAACAACACCAACAACAAAACTAGTGGCAGCAGGAAGAATTGTAACAAAATGTTTTGTAAACAAAATAGTGGGAAATCAAAAGGGCAGGCCAATAACTACAAATCAATAAGTTTCAACGGTCTGGTATTACATTTTCTTGTTGTTTACAGTTCGATTAATTTTTTAGTTCCTAATTATTTATCTAAGACCTTTTGGGAAATAATAAAATATTGATGTTTTTCATTTGTTCCTCGGCACAGTTTGTAACTCTTAGACCCTACAGCCTAATGAGTAAAGACGTACATGACTGTATGCTTTTCATGTAGATCCTATTGACTTTTATGTTAGCGATCTTACACACACCAGTCCTATTATTAATAAAACCTTATTGAATTCAGTTAAGGGATGAAAATCATCACATTTCAGAAATACTTCAGAAATAAAACTGAGACAATTAAAAGGTTCAAAACTAACAACAGTTAAACTAATAAAACAAGCTAACAAATTTTCTGTCAAAGACCACGTAATATTAAGCTCCAATCATTCACTTCCAGCAGCCTAACAGTGATAATATATATCCTGCATTTATTAGAGACAGTAATGATCACGTGCTCAGGAGTAGAGAATGATGTTCGCATAAGCTTCCTGCGGCGCGTTAACTGTTTCAGAGCAACACATCTCGTTGCCTTGTATCTTTGAAAAAAAATTGATACTGTCTTGACAACATTCTGTTTAAGCGATAGCTCTTTAACCTGATAAAACCACGCTTGGAAAACACGAGGAAAGCTTACAAATCACGAGCCGAAGGCGAGTGTTATATAAGCTTTCCGAGATTTTAGGTAATGTTGGTACGAGGGAAATGTAACTTTTAATTTGAATAACCATGAAAAATTTCATCAAACATACCGATAGACATCCCTTTTGGCCTCAGTTTATCACGCTATAGAGCCCAGAAGAAAGCGTTCTATTGCTTTTATGACATAACTAGTTACATACGGGCTCTATAGCTTGATAAAGTATCCGCTTGGAAATTGAATCGAGCGATCTGACGATGTATATACTATGGTCATTTCTGTTCTAAACACGAGTGGAGCTGTACAAGATCTATCACTATTTCTACCTCGTTTGTAGAGTGCAAACGCCATTGCTGACCACCATCAACAAGCGCAATAACCTTCTCAGGTAGCGGGCAGGCAATACCAAATTAAACCTTCACCCAAATGGTTGAGAAAACTTTGAAGTTTTGGTTTTAAAACATTGAAGTCTAATAGGCCAACAGAACATGTTTTTATCTCGCGCGTGGAAGGTCGAATTTCTAAGCTTTTGCGTGACACGATGTTAAAATAGCGGCTGAGAATACTTTCACGTGGGTTAAAAAAGTGACTGAACCGCTAAGATTTCAATCTGAATATTCCTTGTATGATAATAAGTACTCATGCAGATGTTTATGAGCTCTCAGAAGACGACTTCAGCCTTTTTATAGAAAAATTCGAAGACGTATGTTTTTGTTAGCTTCCGGCCGCCATAGTCGTTCTCCTCAGAGGGACACAAACATGGCGTAAGTCTGCTTCTAGCTTATTTTACTTGGCTCGGTAATATAAAAGAGCGTTACGACAGCTACCTCGAGGCAGCATGAGATTGAAATGGTTTGCTTGTGCATAATATTATCGTGATAAATTATAGTGAATTAACATCTACATTGCTTATTTGGTGCGATCGACGAGAAAAAATCAGCGATGAAAATCAGTTCAAATCTGAACCATGTCTTCTGCGACAAGAGTAGGTACAAATGGGTTGTTTAATGAGCGATGCCCCATTGAATATACGTCCACAGTTCCTGCCTGAGTTCCCACGATCCTGATAAGATCCTCCAAGGAGTTCGAGAAAAGGAGTTGCCTCTCAAAATCCTTTCGATTTTTCTCAAACAAACTATCACTTGACCCAGGGATTTCCTCATATTTTTCAGTATCGCTTGTGCCATCCTCCGAAGAGCAACTGCTTGGTACGTAAAACAACTTCTGTCTCCGCTGACAACAACTTCTCTTCTTTGAGGAGATATATTTTCAGACGCCGAAAGCATGAGTACAGGCTTTTCACACTTTTAAAAGTACTAAACTCCTTGAGAGAATTTGACCAAAGTATACCATATTTTTCCACAATATGCATGTTGTTGTTTTGTTAAGTGGAATTCATCATGATGCGTCTTCCAGCCTTTTTTCCAACAACGGTCCTTTTCAGGGAATCCTAATTCTACCCACATGGTCATCATTGTCACTTAATTGATTTCATGTTGTAAGATTGTTGAGGATCCTGTGAACCAAACTTCCTTTTTCGGTTCCAGTCTAACTTTTAACTGCTCTGCCGCTGGTCTACCCAAGCCAATTATCACATGGTTTAAGAACAACAATTCGAATGCTCTAGACTCAAACCCAAGAGCAAGAGTCATTCCAGCCTTTTTTCCAACAACGGTCCTTTTCAGGGAATCCTAATTCTACCCACATGGTCATCATTGTCACTTAATTGATTTCATGTTGTAAGAAGAATTCCGTCGAACTTAATGTGATTATCTGGTTTTTACAGCCATGTGTTTATCTTTGTCTTTCTGTTCACGTTGAAGATTTCCAGTCTTTGTTTTCTCAGCTTAGAAGTTGTAGTTTCCAAATCAGCTTTTACTTTTTTCGATTCAACTTTCTCCTTTCTCCTTTCTCCTCGCGTCTCGCTGAGTTTCATTACTTCGGACAAAGTTGAAAGACACTGCAGATGTGTTAATACCCAAGTTTCAAGTTCTACCATTTTCATATGCGATTGAGACAAAGTTTATACGCTATCATTACTTGATTTGCTTTGTTTCAAAACTTCAGTTGTGATAAACGCTACAAATTAGCAATTGTAAAAAGTTCTTTCAACTTTGAGACGATGAAATTGAAGAAACGATTAGCGATCATTGTTGCAAACGGGATGGAGTTATTCAAGGTTAACATCGTATCTGCCAGTTGTGGTGGAGCTAACTATTAGGTGTTGATGGTGTAGTAGAGATGGTGTAGTGCTACTGAGTAGGAAGTTACTCAGGCAGAGAACAGTGGATCTCCCTTGGGCATGGGAAGAGAAGAGCTAACAGTGGTGATGCGAGTCGGTCGAGTTCGATATGTACTGCTTGGCTGGTACGTGCAAGGACTTCACAACGGATAATGTTGGTTTTGGCCACCATATGATGAGAATCGAGTCCCTCCAACCTGAGATTTCGATAAAAGCCACACATCTGAAGTGTCTGACGATGGAAAACTTTTAAAAGCGAAACCGAACAAAAGAAAAGTACTATCTAGAATGAAAAGATAGAAGAACATTAAAATACGATGAAATGAACTCAGAAACAAAGAAAATGAAAAATTGCAACGCGTCATATAAAAAATATTTGTAATGAAAAGTTAATCCATAAGAAAAGTAAACGATTTAAACACAGGGAAGTTAAAAAAACAGCAGCACGTCATTTTCATAACAGGAATGATAGAAATGAAAAGTTAAACCTAGCTATAATCTAAAATTACGATAACAGGTGAAAACTTACAGCACGTCAGATCATTCAGGTTATATTAATAAAAGGTACTGTAGAAAAAAAAATGTAGATATAATTAAAAGAAATTTTGAAGATGAAAACTTAGAGCATATCAGATCGAGTTCTCTCGTAAGGTCAAACTAATTAAAGTTATTGTATATGTGCACGATCCTTCGCAGTAAAGCACTATTTAAGCAATAGTGAAAATCAGACCTGAAAAAAGTTCAGGCCTGTACGGGATTCGAACCACTGACCTCTGCGATACTAGTGCAGCGCTCTACCAATTGAGCTAACAAGCCAACTGGGAGCAGGCCATCAAATTAATTCGACATAAACCCGTAGATGATAAATCAAACAACAAACATATGAAATACATATATATGAACTGCGGTTATGAAACGTATATGTGCACGATCCTTCGCAGTAAAGCACTATTTAAGCAATAGTGAAAATCAGACCTGAAAAAAGTTCAGGCCTGTACGGGATTCGAACCACTGACCTCTGCGATACTAGTGCAGCGCTCTACCAATTAAACTAACAAGCCAACTGGGAGCAGGCCATCAAATTAATTCGACATAAACCCGTAGATGATAAATCAAACAACAAACATATGAAATACATATATATGAACTGCGGTTATGAAACGTATATGTGCACGATCCTTCGCAGTAAAGCACTATTTAAGCAATAGTGAAAATCAGACCTGAAAAAAGTTCAGGCCTGTACGGGATTCGAACCACTGACCTCTGCGATACTAGTGCAGCGCTCTACCAATTGAGCTAACAAGCCAACTGGGAGCAGGCCATCAAATTAATTCGACATAAACCCGTAGATGATAAATCAAACAGTTAAATTAAGGTACAATTGAAAACATGATTTAAAGGTGAAAACTTATAGCACGTCAGATCAATCGAATTCTTTCATAAGGTCAAATTAATTAAAGGTAGTTTAGAAAAAGTACTCAAATTAAGGTACAATTGTAAACATGAGTGTGAAAACTTACAGCACGTCACATCAATCGAATTCTTTCATAAGGTCAACGTAATTAAAGGTAGTTTAGAAAAAATACTCAAATTAAGATGCAAATGTAAACATGAGTGTGAAACTTACAGCACGTCACATCAATCGAATTCTTTCATAAGGTCAACGTAATTAAAGGTAGTTTAGAAAAAATACTCAAATTAAGATGCAAATGTAAACATGAGTGTGAAACTTACAGCACGTCACATCAATCGAATTCTTTCATAAGGTCAACGTAATTAAAGGTAGTTTAGAAAAAATACTCAAATTAAGATGCAAATGTAAACATGAGTGTGAAACTTACAGCACGTCACATCAATCGAATTCTTTCATAAGGTCAACGTAATTAAAGGTAGTTTAGAAAAAATACTCAAATTAAGATACAATTGTAAACATGAGTGTGAAACTTACAGCACGTCACATCAATCGATTTCTTTCATAAGGTCAACTTAATTAAAGGTAGTTTAGAAAAAATACACAAATTAAGATACAATTGTAAACATGAGTGTGAAACTTACAGCACGTCAGATCAATCAGGTCATATTGGTAGGAGGTACAATAGGAAAAAATAGTTAAATGTCGATATAATTGAAGAAATTGTTAAAGGTAAAAGACGTACAACACCTCAGAGCAATGAATTCTTTCATAAGGTCATATCAATTAAAGGTATTATA